CCGCCGTGTCCAGCGACAGGCCTAGAGGCAGGCCTCCCAAGGTGAAGCCTCAGTTGACAGAAGTCAGTGTTGAATCATAGAATAGAATGGTTTCTTTGTCTAAGTGTCAAATGTTGTAGTGACATGCTATGTAGGAGTGGTGGATGTGGGAAGTGGGTGTTGTAGCTTCTGTGTTGATGTAATTGCATTATAAAATTATGTAGTGGTAGCTAACTTCTTATTGTGAGGCTTTGTTGTTGTTTCTTTCTAATCATCAAATAGAACAGTGACTTGAGCTAATGATGGTTTGGTTTCTCCTATTGTGTTCTCTTATAAAATCCATAATGTGGTTGTTAAACACTTTAATGTGGTTGTTTATCCTTAATTGTTGTGTGAGCAATGCAATATTTAGTACTAGTACTACCTCCGTAATTAAAACAAGATGATGGGTCGATGTACCCTGGCTCTAGAGATAGGGGAAGTAGCTATCGTTGATTATCGAAGGTGATGTAATAAATTCGACACTATGCTTGATACTGGACAACAACCTATGAAGGAGCCTCGTACGGTACAACCTATCTTCCCATGTTTTTGTTGATAAGACCTCTTAAGTGTGTTGAGATATCGTTGTTTCCTTTGCGGGGGAAATTCTCTGGCTTGGTTTGACCACAGACCGTGTGGATCTGTCTTTTCTTTCCATTCTCTTTCACCATGACATAGTTTTGGTCAAATACTCGAATTGGAAGAGTCAGAAATGCAATTAATCTTCTGAGCTAGTCACAATTTAGAATTGAAATTTCGGGTCATGGAAGGGCGAATCCAAATGAGATTGAATTGTACAGTTTTACGTTTATTTTTTTTAAACGTTATTGATGTTTTTGATGAACCTTAATAGTTTGTTTTGTGCGTAGTATTTTGGATGTGTTCGCTATGTTCACTTCTTGATCTATTTTTGTTCACCACCCTTCTATTATATAGAATACTCTTCGTAAAACATCATAATGCATTTAAACTAACTAATATTTTCGAATTAGATGTTTTTCTCTTTAACTTATAGCTACTTCCAGCATGAACTCGGTTAGGAAAATGTTTGGTTTGTATTGTCGACTATTAAGACCCACGTGTCCGCACTTATTCTTATCAAATTTTGTGAGTAATTACTTCTGTCTATTAAGTAATTGCTTTACTAATTATAGGCAATTTTTGTTGGCATTCAATTCATAGGGTCTTTTACACATTAACATTCCTGCATAACATTACGTATGATAAAATAAGAGTGACGAATGCATAAAATAGAGATAAATAGAAAGAAATCGGTGGTTTAGAAATTGCACTGGTGATTAATCATAGTAAATTGCAATTATATGACTTATTGATGAAGTTTGACACAGTGGGGAATGATTTATTCGTGTATTGGATTATGAAAACTTCTCTAGCCAATGACAGTTTTGTGAGTGATATTAGTTTTTGAACTAATGAATTAAGAATATCTGTAACAAGACAAAACAATATAATCACAATTTTATAAGTCACAATTTCTTATATGTATTTATATATAATTTGCAATTTGCAATTTTTCATTTTAAATTATAATTTATGCATCCTAATCTACACCATTGTGATTATATAAAGACGTACACATTTATATATTTCTAACAATTTTTGTCAACAAAGGAGGATGTAGAAGGAGGTTTTGGCGTGTATTAATTACTCTTTAAAGAGACCATTCCATTATAAATACTACTACCACATACTTAAAGATGCACTTCTATTCTAAAATTAAGTGTTGCCTTATTTTATTCATCACATACTAAGAAAAGTTAATAAATATATAAAATAAAATAATAATTTTATAAAATTAATCTTATGATTAATTCTCAAAAATCATTTTACATAATATTTTAGAGATATAGATGGAACAGATGTAATTGGTATTGTATTGAAAAATTATCATAATTCTTAATTAGAAATTTGTTTTTTCTTCTAATATGACACTTTATTATGGGATGGAGGGATTAATATTTAAAGTGATAAGCAAATTTGTTTCACGAGAATTTTGTTTAGAATTTCTTTTAATATAAAAAGGATTAAATGAGAAAGTTTCTAAATTTTTAGAGACTAATTAGTAAATCTTATATCTTGTAAGCAAAATATTAAGCCAAAACAATCAAATCCAAGTCACTAATAAGTATTGACATGAATATAAGAAACATTTATGCCTTGATTGAAATATCAGGTATAGACCATTATTTATATAAACAATTTTTTTTCCCTCATGAATACTATATTCTTCAATTTGAACTAAAAAAAATACTAGAAAAGTTACTGATCAAACTTCAAAGAAAGGGGTGGGTGGTGACTAAATGAGTTAAAACAATCTAACTACCGCTGAAGATCATCTATTTTTTAGAAGAATGGTTTGGGTTGGTCTTTGGTATATATATTCAACTTGATATTATTATTTTTGTTGTATTCAGCTCCATTTCAAGAATAAAGGATCGGATCGTTAGATTCTTTTTTATCAACAATGACTATATTGGGAAAACCTCTGTTTGAAATGCATTAGAAAAAACTAGATTCTGGCTCGTTTATCCACCAAAAGAAAAAAGAAAAAAAATTGAAGGTTATTCACATGTTAAAAAAAAACTCCTAATATTTAATCAATATACATAATCAGATAATTTTTTTTTTTGTATGTACTTCTATGAGAAAAATGAAAAACAAAATAATTTTCTCTGAAAATTAAAATCAGATGATGTATGAACTAATATATAGAAAGTCTAACATAAGTTAATATTAGTCATGACAATCATTATTTATTTATTTTATTTTCTTCTTCTAAAATTGTTTAGGAAAATGTTTATCTAAAAAGGTCAAATTAAAATTATGAAAACGAATCAGTTTTTTCCTCTAAATAGAGGGCTCAATAAGAGACGCACTATGAATATATTTAGTTGTTAGAATATAAATCTCATAAGAACACATTTTAACAAAATATTCTAAAACTATCTCATATTCTTCTTAAATATATGAGATTGAAAAAGTATGACAAACCAATAGTATGCAAGATAAAAACAAATGTTAAAAAGAAATAAATAGAAAAGAAATTAGTTTGAAACTCACAATTGGTCATAAAATAGGAGGTTCATAGACAATCTTATCAAGATATAAATATTTAGAGCATTGCTACAGCTGCTGAAACGGAAGTTGAAATATCGTCCGAATAATTAAAAAATTATTATTTTCTAGTTATTCAGACGAAATTTCGGCTTCTCTTTTCGAACGATACAACATTTTCTAAATATTTAACTATTGAATAAGAATGATATGATAAGAGATGATTGAGGTTCATCTTGCACCTTTTGCATAGTATTATTTTTTGTTTCTGCCACTATCTTTGTTAGTGTTCAATGGGGTGCACATCGGTCGACTTTGGTCAATTTTGGAGTAAGAAAGCTTTATCCGATGTAAGCGGAGTAACAAATTTTTGGGATCGACCCTGACCATTTGATCCATCGGTTTAGGCAGATTTCGTATATAATAGGTTATGAATTCATCGGTTGGGTATGATTGGATTGATGTTTCCATAACCTCCATTAATGTCACCAAGACAAAACCTTTATAGGTTTGTAACTGCAGAAATAGATAATACAATGCACTTATATGTATTTTGACTCACTTTATTTATGGTGGTTTGAATTTGCTGTTAATTGGTGAATTGGGGTGGAGTGGGGGAAGAGTGGAAAGATGCTTGAGATTGAGAAAGGAAAAAGGGATGAGGTAGAATTTGGGAATGAGTTACTGATTCTACAAATGAAAGGGATGCATGTGGCTTCGGTGGAGGAAAGAGGCAAAAGAGATGAACAAATCATAGAAATTGGGAGGAAAAGGGCAAAGGAGATGAACAAGATAGAAAAATTAAAAACTAACACATTATTCAATACGATTCTATGTAGCGGAACATATTGCAACACATTTAACGTAGTATATTCAAATACTAAATTAACTATAAAATTAAACATAGAAAGTCTTTTTTGGTTGGACACGGGTTATCATGATTTTTATTTTTCTAACCCGCAGACGTTCGACATTACCCATTTTAAACCATTTTCTTTTGTTCATGCAACCCGATTCTCAAAATCGATCGTTTGAAAATCTTCTTCTAAATTTGGATTACATGGGTTATAGATAGGTTCAGGAATATTGATCACCTCTAGTGTTCATTACTGACCTTATAGGTATCATTCGTTTTGGTGTTTATCGTGAGTTGGACATTTGCTGAGGGCTCTATTGTTGGAAGAGTATGAAAATTAATGTTATTTTCTATTTAGTCTATATAATAAAAAAAATAATTATATAATTAAGTTATATAAAAAATAACTTAGAGAAAATAAATTAATTGTAAAGTATTAATTAATAATTATTTGTTTAATCAGTCAAAAAAATTATTCTTAATTTTAGAAAAATAAATTAGTAATATTAATTGTTAAAAAGTAAAATGTGATATATTATTAATCTTTTCCTCTCTCTCTCTTCCTAATCAGAGTGAACTTCCATAAATGCTATAGCTAATGTAAAATCATAATAAATAAGAGTTGTCTTTAACTATCTCCTTTTTTTTTTCCTTTATTTTTTTCTCTTAATTTTCATTCTATTTTTTAAATTGTGATTTATCTTTGAAACACTCTTCATACGGTGACATTTTACACAAATTTTTATTGGTCAGAATTTTTCATTAGTTAGAATCCTTCGTGGGTAGTTCTTCCGCTTTTAAGATCAATAATTAACCCTATAAACTAATACAAGACTTTCTAGGGTGCTTTGTCTTCACTCGCATACACTTGAAATTTTTTTCCAAAAGATCGCTCATCCTTAAATTTCTTCAAGTTAAACACACTTAATTGTGGTGTTTTTTTGTGATGAATTGTAACGTAGTGAGGAGATTTTTGAGTTTAGTTGATTTTAGAGAGAGAAGAGTATATAAGAGTTTCTCTGAGAAGGAAACTTCATA